TGTAACCACAATCAGTAGTGGTACACGCACCCACACAGAACTGCTGATACTGCTGCTGCTGTCTGCATCACCCTTCTTGTTGTTTGTGAGTTCAGGAGGAAGTGTTGTTGTGGTGGTGGTGGTGGTGATGGTGGCGGTGGTTGAAGTTGATTGGTCACCGGTTGATTCACTCTCTCCAGATGGAGTGCCATTCTCAGTATTTGCAGCATTAGCTTCACTGGCAGTCCCTGTTTCTAAATTGTTGGTAGTTGATGGTTGTTTTGTTGCATTACCTTCTTGGTTGTTTGTTGCCTCACTCCCTTCAGTTATGGTGTCATTCCCAGTGTTTGCAGTATCAGAATTACCTGTACCTGTTGTCTCTGAATTGGTTAAAGAAGAAGACTGTTGTGCGTCACCCGGTGCGTTTCTCGATTCGGTTCCGTCCGTTGTACTGTTAACATCACTTTCTAGCTGACCTCCACTTGCTGACTCAACGCTACCACTCACCGGAGCAGGTGAAAGTGCTCCAGGAACAGGAACACCAGGAGAACCAACAGGAAGAACTGCACCAGTAGAGCCATGGAGACCAGTTCCAGGATGAACAGTACTTTGAGGACCTTCTCCATCTTTTCCACGCTGTAACGATGCATCGTTTACAGATTCCTGATGTTGATTTTTATGTCCATCTTCTTGGTGTTGTGGTTGTGCTGGTGATGGTGGTTGTTGTTTTTTCTTTTCTTCTTGTCCTGGTGACAGCTCTGCAATATCACCAACGCCATCCCAATCACCAGGAAAAACAGTTACTTTTGAGTCCTTTCTAGGTGCGAAGACATGACTGTTAACATCAAGTTCACGATGAAAATCACCTAGAATGGCCATCACCGCCTTTGGCTGTCCAGCATTAACAGTAGGAGTAACAATGGTTGTTGTTGTTGTTCTTGCGGTACGCTGGCGGCAGAGGTCTGCGTACTTCCCACATGCAGACACACGGCTGCCCGCACCGCATGTAAGCCACTCGCTCGCAG